ACACACCGACAAAGGAGATTAATCAGAACTGACTTTGACAAGCACTGTGGCAATTGGACAATTAAAACAGACATTCGGATGGCGGGGAAGAAGAACAAACTGGCGAGGAGGGTAGCGAGAATGGTGCAGCAATGAAGGAATGAAAACCCAAAATCCCTGTAAATGTTCATTAAAACTAATAAAATGTAATAATAATTAAAAAAACATTTAAAAAAGGGCAAGGCTGTAAAAGAGAACAATTCTGAATCAACAGCATTACACTTCCATTGGAAATCTGTATGTATTATTACCAAGAAAAGTGCAGATTATTATAACTTAATATCATAGCTACTAATATTACATCATCAATTGTTTTTGAAACACAATCCACGTATAGTACTTATCCTCTTTTCTGTTCATAGGCATTAGTTTTGGGTTTTGTTGAGTTTTATTTTTGTGGGTTTTTCATTTGTGTTTAATTCTTACATTTATTTCCATACATTATTTAATCACCACTGATCTATGCCCCTTATTACCCCATCTTTTCAGATTCTCCACTGGATACTTTCAAATACCTCTCCTCCCCCTGCCCTCAGCCATACTGCCCCCTTCCCTTCCCTCTTTGGATATCCATACACATCTTACTAGTTATCCTTCTGGTTTCACAATAATGATATTATACAGTATTTGTTCTTAAGGGCCTGAGTTAGTTTAAACAGCATAATATTCTCTAGCGTCTTCCTTATTATATAGTATTTTTTAAAAAAATCATTGCTCCTGAGTGCTGCACAATGTCGTTTTGTTGTGTACTGTCAAGTATGGTGCGTTTTCAGAGGCAATAAATCACACAGAGGGCAACTGCCCATCCTTCTCCCATGGATCAGCTGGTAGTTTTGAACTATGTGACCTTGAAACTGCAGCACAACTTCTTACCTTTAGGTCACCAGAGCTCCCTATGGAGTCATAGCTATCAGTTTTATACAGTGAAAAATCTAAGCCAACAGAGTGTAGCATCATGGGCTTTATATACTTACTTACTTACTTGTCTACATACATACATGCATACCAAAAAGGTCTTTGATGAAATCTGAGTGTTCATTTAAATCCTCATTTTATATGGAACAAATACATTTGCGTAAGTATTCATGATGTGTTAGGAGTCACTGTGTCGAGTCTGATAATTTTCATTCATTATGGACCAGTATGATAAATGAGAACCACTCCACAGTGTTTCTTAAGATAGAAACTTATTTTTTATTGTTAAAATATTTTTATTTTTCTTTTAAAAATGTTCTCTTCATGGAGGCAAATTTACACATCTCTTTCTGTCTAAATGGTGGTTCAAACCATCAATCTTCCAGCCAGCAGTTAAATTCTTAAGTATTGCACTACTTGGACTCTTTTGTGTTTACCATACTTAATTATGCTCATTTTCAGAGTTACAAAAAAACATGATCAGAAAAAGTTAACTGCATTTGACCCTCCAAAACTATCTGCAGTTGCAGAGTTGTGTAATTGTTCAAAATATGTTAGAGTTTTTACTTTTATCAAATTCACTGATTTTATCTGAATAGGTTAGTCATATTAGTAATAGATTTCTAAGTCAAGCAGTTTAAAAGAAATGCAATAAAATTGTTTATACTCCATAGTTGTAAATACATCTTAAAAAATACCAACACAACAAAAATATTCACAATCATGCCATACATATTCAGTCTTTTGGTACAATGTACATTTTTTTTCTTTAAAAAGGTGAACAACCCATTCCAGTTTCCTTAAGACTTTTCTAGTTTTAACAATAAATCCCAAGTTTGGGAATATATTTCTTGAAAACTTGAAATACTCCATCACCCTTAGAGATAAAGTAAAACTTATAACAACTCTGAGATAATAGAGACTTACCTTAACATCATTGGTGTTCATTCTTGTTCCCTCTTTTCCAACAAAGATATCATCAATGTCCACAAGAATATACCTGTCTAAGGACAATGTCAGCCTCTTTCCTGACAGGAAGGAAATGGCATCTATGAAGATGAGCTTGTGAAGCCAAAAGTTCAAGTTGTTGCCAAAAAGTACTCTTTGAATTCCATCATGGAGACCCAGGTCATGTATAACAGTGGCATAAAAAGCACCTTTAGAAATAGGAGGAGAAAGGTTCTCTGGAGTTTTTACTTTGGCGAATATTACTGGTTGGTAGGCTGAGTGATTGATCTGAAAGACTGTCCAGTCCGTTCCAGGCAAAGGACCTTTTTCAAGCTTCGAAGATTTGGTTACATGAAGCAGTGGAGAATGAGAATTAATGCAGCAATCTTTTACGGCAAGGTTTCCATATACAGAAACAGGAAATCCTTTTAACTGAAGGTTCTGAAGGCTCTTCTCACTGGTTTTATGGAATCCTATAACACCCACACCATATTCAACACAGTATTTATCTAAAAGGCTTCTATTCCAAGAGTCCATATGTAAATACTTTAAAATATTCTCATAAATAATGAGAACATATTTGCCTTTAGTTTTGTCTGTAAGTGCTGGGAGATCCCCTTTTCCAGGAGCAATTTCAATGTGATACTGGAATCTGCTTGATTCCAGAACCATAATAATGTCTTGGCCAAGGGAGGAATACTGGCTCTCCACAAATACCAGCACTATGGGGTCTGTCCTTGAGGCATCAAAAGGTTTTATGGTCTTCACTTCCATCAGCCTGTATGGTAGGTGTTGCAGGGTCCCACAGTCTACTTCTGAAGACATCTCAGAGAGTTCACTGTCCTGTTTGTAGCCACTATACAAGTAGTAAGCAGAAACAATAATGCTCACCATACAAAAAGTGGCAAGCAAAATAACCGTCCTTTGAAAATGTCTGTGAAGCTTCATGATAAAACTCATGTTGTATTACTTGTCTTGGAATGTTCCCAATCGAAGCACCATAAAAAACCAAAAGAAGAAATAAAGAAAAGAACAAGAGAAAAGATGGTGTTTCAGCTTCTTTCCCAGTCTTAGTCAAGACTTTATGTCACCATTGCAACACATTCGTATCACTTGATCGGGATTCACAGAAAATGCAGTCTGAAAAATAGAATACATTAAAACATTCAACCTGTGACATTAAAATGAGCAAACGTTTGTCCTAGTGACTTGTCAAAATGCCAACTCATTAAGCATATAAACTGGTCTGTGAGAAAAGCCTGCTGATCTCCTTCTAAAAGTTCACAGTCACTGAAAGCTCTATGGAGTACCATTTTAACTTAGAAAACACAATGGGCAGCCATGAGTCAGTGTCAACCTGATCATGACTGGTTTGGTTCTTGGTTTTCTTTATCTCAGATCTGAGGAGGACACAAGTTGGAGGGGGATAAAGAACAATGTTTTATTTTAATTTCTACTAGGAAGTTGTGATGCTGGAGAAGATTATTGAATATACCATGGACCACCAAGAGAACTAATAGGTCTGTCTCAGGATGAAACAAAGTTTCTTTTTGGAGGCAAGGACTTTGAAGCTCCATCTCACATACTTTGGGAACATGGCCAGAAGGGATCAGACCTTGAAGAAAAACATTGTACTTGGAAGAGTGGAGGGATAGCTCAGGAGAGGAATATTCCAGATGAGATGGATTGACACAATAACTGGGGTAACAGGATTAGGTGTGTTGGAGTCAGTGATACTGGTTCAGCATAGGGTAGGGTTCAGAGCTGTAGTTCATACGGTTGCTACGATTTGCAGGCAAACTGACAGCACATAAAAATAACAATTAGTAAGGTTAGGTGGCCAAGTGGTAGGAAGCTGTGCTGCAATATCAAAAGCACTTGGGTTGAATCTACCAGCTCTCTGTATAAACAGGATAGACAATAGCCTCTTGTGTGATTTACTGCCTCTGAAAACCTACTGGCAAGTTAGCTATGATTTGATTCTGACTTGACACAATAAAACAACTACAGAAAAGTAATGGACTAACAATGAATTGCATTTTATTTTCTCTGCTTGTAATAATTCTGTATACAATATAGACCTAAGACTACAAAAATGCCCTCTGAATAATACAAAGCCATTTCCTATAATCTAGGTACCCATCATGTAATGCACAGTCAGGCGATTTCTGTTTGGTTACAGATACACTACATGTGTAATAGTTTGGCCACATTTCTTTATACATCTCTCTTAAAATACCAGTTGACAATTTTTTTAAAAAATTATAAAAAAAATAGGTACAATGAATTTTGCCATTCTGCTTACATTACAACTCCTTTAGATAAACATCTTATGATAAATACTTTCATTAAAATAATGACTATGTAAAATATTTTGCAGCATGATGATCATCTTAGAACTGTATATTGTATACTTAAAATCTTCAAGAATCAAGACAGTCTTATGGTGAGGTGAATGTAAGAAGTAGGTGAGATAAATGTGAGGACTCAAACAGTGCCTGAGGTACATTAAATTCTAGAGTCAGTCTGTAAGGACATTGTGACCTTCCGGTAGAACACACTCACTCATTGGTTTACTTTATGTACCATTTTATATCTGTTCTTTTGGGTAAAAAAATCACAATAATTATAAGAGGAAAAGTACTTGACATTATTTTTTTTAAAAGAAAAACCTAATGGAAACAATTAAGATTTCATGAGTCACTTTGTTAAGCTATAATTTCAAACCCCTTTCATATCTCAGTAGCCTTTGAAAAGATTAAGAAATTTTATAACATGAAAGAAATGCTGGGGCTTTCCAGAGAAGTTTAAGATTCGAGTCTTACTGTTCTAGTGTTTTACAAAATAGACACACAAAAACACACACAGATATAGTATATATAGATATTTATGCGTATATAAAACACTGATCTGGTCCTTATACACAAAACTAATGGATAAGAAGCACTGTATTTTTTTTAAATTTTCTTTTAGTTTATTTACAAAATTCAAATACAAATTCATACAAATTCTTTCAAATTTCCTCACTCCCTCACCCATCAAATTGTACAACTCTATGATTAATCCCCCCTCCTCCTGCACATTAACATCCCTCTGCTTCCAGCCTCTCCCACCCCCTCCCAGATCCTGACACTCATTCTACAGTAATGGTTTTGTACAATATTTATCCTTGTGGGACTGAGTTCACTCAGCATAATGCTCTCCAGTCCCTCCCAAGTTAGTTAATAATTCACAAAATCATTGTTCCTGCGTGCTGCATAGTATTCCGTTGTATGAATATATCATAATTTCTCAATCCATTCATTTATAATTGGACATTTGGGCTGTTTCCATGTTCTTGCGATGGTGAATAATGCTGCTATGAACACTGGTGTACAAAACTCCATTTGTGCCTCATTTCTCATATTCTCAGGGTATATTCCAAGTAGTGGTATATGTACTAAATAATATGAAATTTCTGTATTCAGCTTTTTGAGGAAGCGCCAAACTGCACTGTATTTTATATTTGTCGTAAGATTAGGATTCATCTCAAATCTTCCTTATACTAATTTTATAAGTAGTATTTTTCAAGTGAAATATTTAGGTCAGAATGAATGGTCATTGGGCATATTCTGACTCTTAAAATTCTGCAGTATTTCTGAAATAAGCACCAGGAAGTATTTTAAATAATATATGGCACTGAAGTAAGAAGTGGGCAATATTTTCAATAATATATGCTCTAGTTTATGAAAGGAGCTCGAGGGATGTATTCTTTATGGAGTCTCACTGTTAACGCAAAACGTGCCACTTTTCTGCTCTGGCAGCTCAAATCCACTAGTGAGTCAGCAGGAATAAAAAGTGGGCAATCTCTTCCCATACAATTTAGAGCCTCCTGAAAACCCACTGGAGGGTCAGCAATAAGTCAGTTTAGACTTGATGGCAATAAGTAGCCTGAATATATTTATGGACAATACTATACACTACTGTGTATTAAAATTATATCTTATTGTTAGGTGTCATTGAGTTGAGTACCACCCAAGTGACCCTATGAACAACAGAATTGAATCCTTTCCTATTCTGTGTAATCCTCACAATCTCTGACAAACTTTTGTCCACCACAGCAGTTACGGTGTCAATCCATCTGGTTGTGGGTGTTCCTCTCTTTCATTGGCCTTTCAAGCATGGCATCCCTCTCCAAGGAATATCCTCTCCTCACAACAAGTCCAAGGCATGTGAGGTTAAGCTATCTCATCTTTGCCACAAAGGAGCACTCTAAGTACACATTCTCTGAGATATATCTGTTCTTTTGGTAGTCCACTGGATATTCACGACTCTCATCCAACACAATAGCTCAAAGGCATCACTTCATCTTCTTTTATCTTTATGACATAATATAATTTAATGTATACTGAAGTTTAAGCTATAAAAAGAAAAAAAGTTATTTTTTCCTGTGAATTATATATTGTTGCTTATACATTTAAATATTAGAATTTCTTTCTCATTTTTAAGCACAATTAAGGCTCTGGAATTCACATTCTTCTCAATGTTAGCCGTATATTTTTTTTTATGATACACACAGTCAATAAAGTACAAATACATATTATTCTGGTAACTG